AATCCTGCTTAGTTACATGACTCTTAAATTTACCCTTTCAGAAAAAATACAAGGTAGTGAGAAACTTGTGATAATATTTGCAAAGAGGAGTGCTGACTTGTTCCCAAATCTGTCACTGACATGGCTAACAGCAAGTCATTAGCTAGTCTTCGTGTGTCGGGAACTGGTTCTCCTCATGAGAACTTTCAACCCTAAATATCTACTTATGCTCTTCTAACATCATGTTACTGTAGTGCTGCCTACTGAGGTCCTGCCTAACCCTGCAGATAATCTTTGATGTTGAAATTTGTGTAAAATTGAAGTGATTCTCCCAGCATTTTAATCTATTACGAGATTGTGCACATGCTGCATTTAAAATAATTCGGTGAGTTGAGAGAAATGCGCAGAAATAGGTCCATGCTCCCAAGAAGTTAATTAGACCGATAGGGGATCCAACTGGAAAAATTACTTGCATTTATTACCCTTAGCAGTTCCACGAAGCTTCTTTGACTGCCCCCAACAGTTTATCTGTGGAAGAGAGAAAGCCTCTTGGCTGATGTGTGTGGTGCCTTGATTTCCGCCTTCATTTAGCTCAAATGTCTTTCTGCACATTCTCATCTTCCCCAGAGGGTTTTAACTCATCTCACTAGTGGAAACCAGTAGAAGGGCCTATGACTGCTTTCCCCCATCCCTAAAGGTCCCATTCGAAAGTATGCCTGGCGCTTCGCTTTGAAAAATTAAACCTGAGATGCTATGAGGGGTGTTGTTTTTTCAGTACTGCTGGATAGTTAAAGGGTGTTTCACAGTTGGAACAATATTTTCTTTAAAATATTTGATGTTTATTATTTCACTCTTCAAGCAATATGAGGAGGCAAGGCTGTTTACTTAGAAAGACTTTATGAAGATGCATGAGACACACCGGTGATATATAAAAACAAAACCAGATTAATTTACCAATGTGACACTCTTTGTTTTTAGGTATACAAAAAGAAAACTGAAGCTGCCAAGAAGGAATATCTGAAGCAGTTAGCTGCCTACAGAGCAAGCCTTGTATCCAAGGTAACACATAATGTATATACATACACACATATATATATAGTGACATATTGCAAACCATTTTCAGCATTTATATGGTGCTGAGCACCATAATATTTAGTGCAAATAGTGTTGTTTGTTATTACCTTAAACTTGGGTTTAGGGTGCAAATGTTCAATAAACACAGTGATCTCTCCATGCAAAGATATCCTTATCCTGGTCAGAGAGACAGCACTTCATCAGACTGGGAGTATCATTGCAGTTCAACAGAGGAAGGAGATGTAATGGTAAAAAGACCTCAAAATAACAAACGTGCCGTGCCAGGCGGTCACTGTTCCACCTATAAGGGGAAAAAAACATATCACGCCTGGGTTTGGGTTTGTTGGGGTTTTTTTAAGTACTACTTTTTACCTTGTAATCACAATACATAAAAAGTCAAACTCAGCTCACATAGCAAATTTTGATAAGAAAATATGAATTTCCATTTTATATCCAGTAAGCAATTTGTGTTAGCACAGTGTAGGTCACATAAGACTCTTACACTCTTCAGAGTATAGAAGTAATTTTAGAGGTAAAGATGGCAGTATGAAGGACTAGAATATATGACATAAGTAGAACTTTTTGCTTAAAATGTTTTTGGTGTCTTGCACTATACTTTTCTGATGTTATATTAATTTCTGTATGTTATCAGGGGAAGACTATATGATTAGCCATACAAGGACTTTTCCTTCATCTTTCTACATTATCTTAGTATTCAGCCAGTGTTTGTTCCAGATTTAACAGCCTGAAATATGGGTGTAACTTCATTCATTTTGGGGGGTTGTGTCTTATGCATTGTAATTTTATAGCTACCATCATAAAGGCTAATGCATTTAGTTAAAGTGATTTACAAGGTACCTTTAATTTCTCTCTTAGGGCTGTTTGGTTCTAGAAATACTCATTGCCTTTAAAAAGGGTACCATGTGCACACAAATAGATTTTTTTGAAATAGCCCGCTTATTGGCAAAAGATAGGTCAAAAAAGCTCAAAATATTCCAATAGGTTTTGAAGAAATGTATGAAGCCAATTTTTCACTTGTGAAAATGACTTGGATGTCATTATTCAGCACATCATGGACTGTTACATAACACTCCATATAGCTTAATTTTGAAATGGTATATATAAAAGAAATCAGATATCTTTTTTGAAAGAGAATAAATTGCTGTTAGAAAAGCACTGAAGCATTTTCTTAACTTTTAAGCAATTATTTAAATTCTGCCTATAATGTAATATTTTCCTCTAGTGTGGAAAGTATCAAAATATAAACTTAATGAACCTGAATACTAATTTCTTACTCTTTATGAGCACGCAAATCCAACAAAGTGGGCATGTAACTAAAGCAAGTCCATTTTGGAATAAAGATGTAAAATACATAGATGTAATATTATACCAACATATTCTAAATTATCATTATTAAATATTTATGTGGCACCAGAAGAGTTGTAGTGTAGACAAAGAATGTAAGCATGAAGAAATATATATAATACATTATTAAAACTATTTGGAGTCCATTTGGTCTTTTATGTCTATTTGTTATATTATCATCTATAAAATCTGCTTTTACTATTAAGAGAATATTATTAAGATTCCAAGACCTCATTCTCAAAAGTTAAGACATGCCGAAAGTAATATACCTTTTCCAAAAATGCTTTAATACAATATGAGTGATTTGCTCACATGGTATGTTTTATACTTTGTACCACACTCTGTGTGAGTCTCATTTCATATGCTTAAAATACGGTTACCACCCAGTAAACGAGGTGAACATATGATTGTGTAAATATCAGTTATGCATAAATCCACATTTAATTTATCAGGTTATTTTCTGTATTTTCTCCTTTTTCATAATGATTGAAATTAATGGGGCTGTTTTCAAGTTTGTTCATGTGTGTAGGAATTGATACATGAAGTAAAAATCACATTACAAAGCACTATATCTTCTGTTATGCAGTTTGCCATATTGCTTATAGTACTGACTAAGCCTTTGCATTGTAAACAAGTGTCTTTATATTTGCCCTTAGTTGCAACTTTTAGTACTATTCAGGTCCAGAAATGCAGTCTCTGGTATCTGGTAATTTGTACAACACTACATAAAATGCTGTGAATTGCAATTTTACTTTTTCATAAAACAAGCACTTTTTCTACCTTAACCAGCCCTTTTTCTGGCTGACATTAGAGTTTTTGCTGCATCTTTTAAATATATGTATTTAATACAGATATAGATGGGTAAATGATGAATACTTTCATATCTTATATACGTGCAACTATGTGTATTTATATAACGATATATGCATATTACGTATTTAGCATGCATAATATATATGTGCATACAAGTGATACATATATCTATGTTAACTCTAGGAGTAACAGCTTAACTGTTTGAATAGTACAAAGAAGATTTCTTTCCTGTTTTGTTCTCTCTCACTAAATGAATCTTTAATTTTCTCTCTGTAGTGACACAATTTCAAGTTTCATGAAGACATATTTTAGCAGCTATAGCTGAAGCTAAAAGCTCTCAGCAAGGAGAATATTATTCAAATTCAAAATATTCAAGCATATTTCAAAATTCGGATGTTCTATCTAAGTCAAAGCAGTGTCCTCACTTGACATTGCAGCAAAAGCATTGGACATTTTTCAGTTTAGTGGACAGTGCAGATCCTTTGGAGATGTAAAATTGCTTCTTGAAGTATATGGCAGGCATAACTTTCCTAGCCCATCACCTTGCAATTACATTTCATAAAAAAACTAAAGGTCATATCTAGTAAGACTGGCATTGCCTTAATGCCATTAGCACAGCAATTTGTAACCAGAGGGTTTCCAGGCACAGAGAATATCTATTAGACTGCCTATATTGTGATACAATTGAACAGCCTAAGGAATCTGAGTCTCTTAAGGCTGCAGTGAATATACATGAAAAGTTCATATATGCATATGTGTATTTGCCTAACGTATGAAAAGGAAAAAAAAAAAGTAACAGCTCTCCCAGATCGTGCATTTCCCCACTTCTAAGTAAATGTTGATGTGCAAGTGTGCTCCCTCCGCACTTTGTTTTCTGTAGCCTAATGAATCCCAAATTCTTTTCAGTATAGTAGCCAAACTTCAGATGTAGGGGAGCACTGTATCCTGGCTCACTCCTCCCTGAAATAAGCAGCTGCTGGGGTTTAGGACATTTCTTTTGGAAACATAGTTCTGAGTATCTCTTGACAGAGTAAATGACTGAACTGTCTTTTCTCCTGGTCAGTGCTCTAATCAGTCAGGTATTGCACATAAGGAGAGCAGCATCACTTCTGCTGCTGGCAGAAAGCCACCTGGTTTTTGTTTTTTGAGACAACAGATACCTATATTTTACCTAGCCCCAGTCCATGAAGATGTTTTGAAATTTCATAAAACCGTTTAGGCTGTTCTCAGTGAAAGCATCAGAGGAAGAATAAATGAAAAATATGGTTATGGTTTTTTGGGTTTGGTTTTGTTGTTGTTTTTTTTTTTTTTGTTTTTTTGTTTTTTTTTTTGCTAGCTGTTGAAGTGCTACAAGGCATTTGGCAATATTTCCCTTAAAACAGTAATGAATAACCCCAGAATGATGACATGCATCTACAGCTTTTACTTTTTTCTGTTAAACATTAGAATCCCTAGCTGGGAAAACTATAATGTATGACTTTTATAGCATGTACTTCATGCTTCTGTGATAGCTTGGTATTGCCTTCTTTCTGGAGTTATTATAATGTAGTCAGAAATTTTCAAGAAATCATAAATAAAATTAGGTATGTGCAAGTATGTGATGTATCAGAGTATCTGGTAAGTGAACACATAAATTTATAAAATAATTGTCTAATCTGATAAGAACACAAATCCAACCATATTCTTATCTAGCAAGGAAACCAACTATCTACTGCAGCTGAAAATGTAGAACAAACTGTATTGAAGTTAATGCCATGAATTCAATTTGAGGCTAAATCTTGTGAAGCTTTACATTCAGCAGTGCAAAAACTGAGAGATGCTCTCACATAATTTCTGCCAAAAGTGGCAGAAATGTCTTGAGCTTGAGAGAAGCCAGATTTTTATTTGGAGAAGAACTGTGTTTGGTTTTGAAGAGAATTAATAAAACTAGATTTCCCTATTAGCCTAGTGCTTCCATTTGGGGAATTAAAACACTTGTATCAAATTAAAGTTGCATATCCTTTATCACATGTACCCAGGTTACATTCATAAAACATCCATTTTTACTTACATACCCTGAATGAATCCATGACAATCCCCTGTAGATGATGACAAAATGTATATTTAGATTTGAAGATGTTCTTCTGAGCCACCTCAGCTAATTATAGATGACAACCCATGGCTTACTCCTTTGTTCTGAAACATCAAGAATGTGTCAGAAAGCTTTCTGAACTCTCTAGAGTCCCAGATGTTGTTATTGCAATAGGTGACTGGAATTAACAAAATACGAAACGTCATTTGGTAGGAGCCTCTTGTGACTTAGGAAGAAAGGCAGTTGTACTGCAAATATGCATATGAGTTCTCTACCAGAGTGGATGGAGTTAAGTCGGAGGAATCTCTGAAGGAGTTAAAGAGCTAAGCAGGAAAGAGAAAATGCTGCCAGGGAGACTAGTCATTCTCTCATAAACAGCTTTACAGGAGTATTAATAAAATGGCTGAGCCCATGTAGGCTAGAAGAGGAATTCTTTTCAAGGACAGTCTTGGGGTTGGAAGTGACCTAAAATGTCAGAAACGTTAAAAACAGACAGGATTATGTGAACACAGAAAAGCTGAGAGAAGGAATAAACAATTCAAGATGTTCCTTCCACCAAAGAGACAGCAAAGACAGCAGATGTAAACTTAAGCTTAGGTAAGCTTTGTAGGAGCTGCATAAATATTCAGCCAATTTCCTTCTATCTACCTCTTTAATGTCACAGTACTGAAGATAACTCATTTAAAGCTGAGTCAGGCCTGCCTAAGTTTGATCACAGCCTGCACACCCCGGACCT